CAAGAGTCAAATATGTTCACATAAAGCTAAAATCCTTGCTGACAGCTTACAAAGTCTTTGGAATAGAGTCAGGAATTCAATGTATTCACAGACTGTGGTGTTTTGTAGGGATGAGAAGCTCTTTGTCATTCAACAGAGAGATCGATATTATACCTGGTCTGGAGAGAGACACATGGACCAAAGAGCTCCATCATGGGCATCAGTCGTCTCTAGAAGGCTTCCTGAGGCCAGGTCGAAAATCTGAATCTTCCCACTCTGTGACAAAAGACACATAAATACCACAATACGGAACAAGCTGCTAACAATAATGCAAAATTAATTTTCATAGGAAAGGATATATGGACTAAAAGTTTTGCAACAGAAGATCTTTCAGGATCTTAATTAGCATTCAGGAAACGTCTCATTCAAATCTCATTCATGCATTTTCAAAGTTGGTGGCTCATGTTCGGTTACAAGACAAGCCAGAACTAATGGCATTTGATGCCAATAACAGCCAACTTGGCACAATGGCTTTTTTTTTTTTTTGAGCTTGATAGCCCATAGTCATGGTCTACCTTTTTTTTTAATGGGAAAGGGCAGAGCAGACATTCTGCAAACCATCTCATTTTGTGTTCCACAGAAGAAAGTCATACAGGTTTGTAATAAAGTTAAGACATGAAGTTAAGCAAATGATGACAGAATTTTATTTTGGGTGAACTATCTCTTTATTGATTGATGATAGAGAAGTGAATAGTTTTATACCTTTGTTCCTAAGATAATCTGTCTGTCTCCAGGAACAAATAACGAGCAGAGAGCATATTCACATCCCATGGTACGAATGACCTGCAAGGTAGACCTGACAAAAGAAGATACTTCTTGTTAAGGACTCAAAATCTATAAACCCATGCAAAAAAATTATAATTGATGGAAAACATTTGTCATCACACTCACCTGTTCCACACTTTGACAGTCTCTCCAGAGGCTGAGAGGATGGCTATGTTATCTGAGCTGAAGGCCAGAGTTCTGACATCTGTACGATGACCGCCCAGTGTGAGGCGAGAGGTTTTAGTGCCAGTAGGATTCTTCTCTGAAGTCTTCAGTGTATATGTCTCCACTGTGTTATTCTGCAGAAGAAGAGCAACCTTCATCTCTCCGTTAGGAACCAGAAGGCAGTCCATTGATCTGTAGATGAAAAAAACATTACCATCAATACTTAATAACAGTAACACGCAAGAGGGCACTGTGCTTGCATGCATACTCTCTGACCTGATCTTGGATGACGCCTTTATGTTTGCCAGCTTTTGGATCTCATCACTCAACTTTCTCTCCACTACAAGTTCAGGTACATCCTCTCCTCCTCCTTGCGACCTGCATAACATAACAGTTCATCAGAATATCAGAAAAGCAACAACTTCACATTTCAAAACAGAGGTCTCACACACTTTGTTTTTTTCTTGGCTTTCTTTAGTTTTCTGTCCATTTTTTTCTGGACCTCTTCCTCCGACAGTACAGTGAAGACTTCAAGCGTAGCATCCAGGCCCTGTTGAGATTTAAAAAGAAGTTATATGATGTAGGCTCAATTTTTGCCTAATTATTGCATAGCTACTTTAAATTAGGGACTTCCCAACAAAACCGACCAAGCTAAAGAGAGTGGAACCCTTTTTCAGTAGGAAGTGAAACACTAGTATACACAATTATGCAATATACTTACATGGCATGCAAGCACTTTAGCTTTGGCGTCTGTGACCAAGGACACAACCCTGTCTCTGGCTTCCCTCAGAACAGAACCAGCTTTCTTACAGCTGAGAATTCGCTGTAGACAGAAATCAGATCTTTGATGAATATTTGAAGGAAACCCTTTTTCTTAAACTAAACGAATGTATTGCGTCATGTCAAATCACTAATATCCACTGAATACTGGAAGAAATATTACTTCTTCTGGCTCTTCGTCAAGTCCTTCCTCATCATCCTCAAGAAGAGTTCTGACTTTCTTTTCCTGTGGCTCCCCCACTTCTTTACCCTGTGAAAAATCTTTAAAGTCATTCTGAATACATGAGATCAGTTTCAATTCTCTATATAAGAGACCAAAGATCAAATTCAAGACTGTATTGGAATGTAATTCAGCCTACAATGTAACCATTTGCCACAGCATGAGTGATATTGCCTTACCTCCTCAATGTACTGAATGTCCCAGGCTCTGAGCTCACTGTCAGCAGACCCTGTAATCAACCTACTCTCCTGGTTCAACAGGACCATTCCCCATACCTACAGAGATTGGACAATGTTGCACTGTACTACAACACTAACAGATATTTAGATTGTGCTGGAGACTCATTCTCCAAAATTAAAGTAAGAAAACACCTTATGAGCAATTTTCTTCAAGATACTAAATGCCACCTAGGCTCAGATCATTTACAGTAAAACACCCTAATCATATACAGTACATTGATTTATGCTGATATCAAAGCAGCAAGAACATGCATTGTGTGTTGTGTTGTAGATTTCAGAAAGATCAAAACAGTCTCAACAGTGTCCAGTGATCCTATTTACCTCAGTGCGATGCCCCACCATGGTCTTGAAACAATGCTGTGTGTCCAAGTCCCACCACTTTACAAAACTGTCCTTAGAGCTGAGGAAACATGAGAAACACAGAATCAGATCAGCAGCGCATTACTACATTGCTGCGCCAAGGTACACATCCAGTTACTTTATTCTTTCAGCATGAAGTAGTATATAAAACAAAGCAGTCGTTTCTGAAAATGTAATCAGTCACAACTGACGTTAGGTCGCAAATTGCATTTTTGAGAGAAAAAAAAAACAGTCGCTTCAGTGTATTTATAAGTCACATTTCATCATTATATTAAAAAAATTATGTAAAACACAGTAAATAAAATGAAACGGTTACAAGCATTACAAACACTACAAACTATTTTAGTTCCCCACACTCAAATCCTTTAAATTTAATAGTATTTAGTACAGAACAGCAGTAATCAAAGTAAACACATTTATTTAAAGTGAAACCACTAGCATGTGGGAAATGTGCTATACAAATAAACTTGTCCTCATGTACTATTCACTTTTGGCAAAAATACAAATGCTTTACGTTTTTGACATTAAGTCACAGCACATTTCAAATGATAAAAAAGCTACTTATATCATGGGATGAAATGATGTGTCCATGCACGTATGTATATAATATAATATAAAATGTTGAGTATTTTCAAGAGTTGAATTAATTTCAATAAAATATACAGACTGATTTACCTTGTAATCAGCAGGTTTTTGCTCTCCAAAAACAAAATTTGTGTGATTGCATCTTTGTGTCCTTTGAGTCTGTACAGACCACACTCATTGATGATATCCCACACAATAACATCTGTGTCCTGAAACACAACAACAAAGAAAATGATTTTACTTCATGCAAAATTGAAAATCAGTTAAAAAAAAAAAAAAAACTGTTCTAAAATGAACTCTCATCTTACTCTCGAGCCAGTGACGAGACGAGCACCCAGTGCATCATATCTTATAACTGAGACAGCTGATTTGTGTCCACTGAAGGAGATGTTGCTTTCGCCGTTGAGCAGACTAAAGATGCGCACACCTCCATCCTCATAACCTACCGCTATGTGGACGCCATCAGGAGAAGGACACAGGTATGTCACCTCATGCTTTTTACCTTCAAGTATAAGAACCTGAGAATTGAAAGGAGTAAGTGCAATGTTTATGAGTTTAAATAAACTGATGAGTAAATGTACCAAAGCAATCTTCTAAACCATTTAAAAACAAGTACCTTCTCAGCTTTGCGGACATCCCATATGAACACATGCTCACAAGCTCCCACAGCAACATATCGACCCTTCTCACCTCCCCTAAGGGTCACAAACGCGATGTTGGCCTTCTGATTGCCAATCACTCCAAATACAGCACTCGCCACATAGCGCAGGTACTGCTTCGTTAAACCCATGGCAAGCCGGAGGCTGTAGACACACACACAACAGTAGGTAGTGGGGTTAGATGTGTGTGTTGCTCCTTTAATCTAGCAAACTGCACGATTTGTCATGTGAGCGCATATTTAGAATGAGACCAATCATACTTTATAAATCGGCGTATTTAGCTAGTAGCTAAAGCATATCTGTAATTATGAGTTTAATGTTGTTATATTTTGTGTGCATGGTTCCTTATAATAAATACAAAAATCATAATTATTGGTTAACAGCTAATGTATAAAACCATAATCTTGAGTTTGCTGAAAAATACAATTATATTATATATAGATTATAAATGCTCAGTCACTTCATGTTCATCCTGTATCAACAGTGATTGTGACGTTGTTTAATGGTATTTTAGCCCTTCGGCTGCACCAAACGAAGCTCGTAACTACCTTCAAAAGTTATGATTGCCAATTGTAATGTATATTAACTTAACGGTCAGTCCATAAAATGAAAGTGAGCAACTATTGCTCCCCAACACCACGCTTCACAGCAACGTGAACCACATGCAGTCCGTTTAATCGTATTTAGAGAGCAAGAGATAAGCAGATATTAGTAAGCTACAAAGTTCAAAATAAGCAACTGCGTATAGTAAATGTAGTTACATACTTTGTCGATTAGATGTATTTTGTATCTGCAGTCTTAAATGAAAATATTGTTTCTGTGGATGTGGAGAACGTCTACATGCTTTTCAGTCGCACGTGTGACATCAAGTAAAGACAAAAGTGGTAGATTACCGAGCGGAACTACGATGTTACTTCACAAAATATTGCAAGAATGTTTTTATAGACATTTGTGTCACTCTAAAATATGTGTTCCTCATTATTCACACTGCTTTATGCATTTTATTTATCTGTTCTTCTTATGAATTGTGTATAGTATCGATTACTTCGGTCTGTGAATGCGAAGTCATGTTGCTGTCCACGAGGCGCATCAAATGTGTTCATAATTAAACTTTATTTAATTAAATTATTCATTATACTTATTTTAATTTAGCGATGACACTATAACGTCGATTAAAATCTATGTTGCAATATTGTATATGTCTGTGCGTTTTCTACACGGATCGACAACATAGCCACTGCCCCTACTGCATTCCCGGAAGTGATGATATTTGTCCTCGTGAATCAGCTGATCAGGAAACTCGCTGAATGTTGCAAACACGATGTGTTGACCACATGCAGTTAAAATCACATTTTAACAATGGCTCATTTAAAAGCGGAAGCACAGGAAGATTTGATCTTTAACTCTATCTTTAACGGATTAGTTCGAGCTAATGTGGTTTGGTGTTTGCAGTAGCTGCATCATAGGACATCTGGTAGGTTGCTGGTCATTGTGATTGATGGTGGTTGTAATCTGTTGCATTTTCATCAAGTCGATATAAACCTGTGTGGTTAGAATAAGTATGACGTGTTGCTTTCCTTTATATCCTCTTTGAAACAGGATTGTGTTGCATTGTTTGTATGTTCCTGTTGCAGTCGAGATGAAACTTTGATGTATTTGAACAAACTCATTGCTTTGTTGTTGTTGAAATCTAATTTGGCGAGTCGACCTTTACACGTGCGTCTCATTTCTGCTGAATATCTTATCTGTTCCTGAAGTCCTGTCTGGCTGCACTTATAGAGCCTCTCTGTTGTGCTTGAAAGTCAATTAGGTTCATGAACACTCCACTTCTCATACTGCAGCTGGCACTGAAAGTATTGCTGAATGCTTTTACAATTATTGTTGCATTTTGAAAGTTTGGGAATTTATTTATCTTGTTTCATTGTGGCTTTATGATTTATGTGAATTCATTTTGAAGAAAGCACCACACAGTATTAAAATATAATATCAATAATAATAATAATATCATATGTTTTTTGTAAACATCAGTTGGGTGTGAAACACTTGCATGTATATGTGGGTTTAAAAAATACAACACTTTTACTAAATTGGTTCTCAACCAGGGCCCGGGGGCCCACTAGAGGGCCTCAGCAGACTTCCAAGATGACTTTATTGTTTAAATGGGTTATATTAAAATAATAGCGTTTATTTAAAATGCTTAATTCTAAAAATTACAATGTATACAATTTAAATTAACCTTCAAGTATTGTCTTGGACAATAGTGGCCCCGAAGCACTGTTTTAAAAGATACATTTTAGATCCAAAGTAATTTCATACACCATTTATCTGCCTGAAATTCACTGAAGTCTGGCATTGTAACCACCATCTTACATGTTTAAACTGATGCAATGCCGGTATAGCCCAGGTCAAACTACAGTCTCTTTCTGTGTAAATGCTCCTCTGTGTCTTTTTCAGTTCAAAATTGCCCAGTGAAGCTACAGCATGGATCCCTTGGGAGCTCGTTCCCAGTTTGTGGAGGTCCAGAACCTACCCACGTGGGACCAGTCTCAGGGAGTCCAGGACGAGGTGGATGGAGAAAACCAATTAACAGAGGAAGATGACCAGCTGACTAATCAGCTCAATTCTTTAGAGTCCCCTTTCCTCTTCAGACAAGACATCAACAGCAAGATTGTATTATTGTGAGTGTTATTTTCAATGACATTTCTTAAACATTCTGTTTTGTTCTTCTCCACAAATTTCTGCATTATTTCAACAAAAATCACTTAAAAATCGCTTAATAAACAGACTACGTAAAACTTTTTTTAGTCCTAAAAGCCTAAGCCTCAAGATTATCTATAAATATAAGTACTTATTTGCTTAATTCAATAGTTTAAGATTGTTTAATAGTTTAATCCTTTAGTAATTTAGACCTAAATATTATGATGATCTTCACGTCTGTTAGTCATTCCCTCGTGCACACAAATCCCCCTTATAGCTAGGCCTGGCATGATAACAACTTTTTGTTGTGCGATATATTGCCCCAGAAATAATTGCGATAAGCAATATTATTGTCATTTTAAAGACCATTTTATGCCACTGAATATATAATCATAATAATATAATCACAGCATAATAATGCAAGAAGGCCTACACACTTCCAAATGACAACAAATTTTTTATTTTTAAGAATATTTAGATCATGGAAATTAAGTATCAAAATATTAGATACCTTAAAAAACCTGAATAAATACTAAATAAACATTTTCTAACAAAACGTGCAAAGTAACAAGTAGAAAAGAAAAATGCACAAAGAACTTGTATGGAGATTTTTCCATCTACAGATTTTTTCCTGACCTTTTTTCTCTGTAAATTAAAGGTGCACACTATTGCTGAAAAACACAATCACTACTTAGCAGTCAGATGTCCGTATGCAAAAGGCACAGATCCCTAAACAAGACCATATCTGCAGATGGAACTTTGTTTGTAGAAGCATTTTTTAAATGTGAACTAGCACCTCATGACTACACCACGTTATGTACGGGAAGCTGCAAAAGACAAGTGGAATGTACAAAACATGGTGACATTAAATTTTAAGTAAATATAATGGGCGATATATTGCGTCACCAAAAAATATTGAGGTCATGTACATATATTGCGCGATAAGTCGATATATTGATTATTGCGACAGGCCTACTTATAGCTCAATCACGTGACTGTCTGGGAGGTCCTTTTGGCTTTCAGACCAATATAGCTTTTTTAGGGCAGGATTAAGCTTTTTTTTCTCTCTGAATTCATAGTTTCTCTTTTTTAAGAAAGGGGAAATTCATTGCATGGCACTTCTCTATGAAGTCCAATTAATAAAACCAGTCCTTCTGGAAATTGAGGCAGGAATAGAATTCAGCAGTACGCATAGTTTTATGCTTGCAGGATTTGTTTATAGGGACTATTCTGTCATTCATCTGATTTCATTTGTTTTTTGAAAACAAAAAAATTCAACATTCCACGTGATGGCATAATTATATTAACACTTAACGTTATAAAATAAAATGAATGTTTTAAAATAAAAAATAGTGTTATTTTAGTATTAATTATATTATTTATTAATATTTTGAGCTTTTATTTTCATATTTTATGTTTAATTTAGTTTTAGTTATTTATTATGCATTTGTTTTGTTTTTTTGTTTTTTAGTTTAGTCTAGTCTAGTTTAGTTTAGTCTAATTTTAGTTCTTAAATTAATTCTTAAAATAATTCTTAAATGTTTTTCATTCATTTGATTTTATTTCAGCTTTATTTCAATTACCAATAATTTTAACCGTTTTATTTCACAATAACAACTATGTTATTTATGCTACATTTGTTCACACAGCTTTTTCATGGCTTATATGATGTTCTGTATCTGATATGCTGATTTATATCATTCCCTTATTTTACAGTAATGGAGATGTGGCACTGTTAAACTGCACTGCAATCATCAGTACAAGTAATGAGACACTAACGGACAAGAACCCTGTATCAGACAGTATCCATAGATATGCCGGACCTGAACTAAGGGATGAACTACTCAAACTGAAAGGTAGGGGGCACCACCAGGATAGCAGATGGAGAATTGATATCTAACTATGATCTTAAACTATTAGTGTTTTTAAATGCTGTTTGTGTTTGTTACTCAGTTTTGGAACAGATATTATCTCATTTCGTTGGTATCTCATTTCGTATCGCTTTTATTGGAGTGATATGCGTGTGTGTATATTTTTACAGGATGTCGAACCGGTGAAGCAAAAATGACAGAGGGTTTCAACTTGGCTGCACGTTTTATAATTCACACAGTTGGACCCAAATATAAAGCCAAGTACCGGACGGCTGCAGAGAGCTCTCTTTACAGCTGTTACAGAAACATCATGCAGCTTGCCAAGTAAGCCGGACCATTCCAACAAATTTTGTGAGATTGTTGCACAAATATTAAATGTCAGCTCATACAGACTGTCTGGACATTCTGACATGGTTATACTAAGTAAATATGCTTAGATATTATAACTGTTAGTCACTCTCCAAGATCATATCAGACATTAAAAACAGTTCAAATACAGTCTAAATCAAATATTTTAGCATGAACTTGTGTTGATTGTTGGAGCAGTTCCCATGGCAACAAGGCGTTTAGTAAAGTAACACCAGCCTTTATGTTCAGTGCTTGATAATTATTAATAGGGATGTCTGATGATGTAAAAAATAAACCCCATGTGCTTGTGGGAAGAAAGGAAATTATATAAGATTTAGATTCCATTTGTGAATACATTAGCTTTTGTGATTTTGAACTTACCCTTGGCTAAGGATAAATGCCATTCATTTCTTTTTTTGGGAATGACTGTGTGTGTGTTAACAGGAGGTGTTTATGACAGTGATGCTTTACTATGCAAATAACATGTCATCAAAGACACTTCTGCCTGCTCTTAGATGGAAAAACCGGCTGACTAATGTAAACTGTGTAATTGAAGTACATGCGACATATTTTATGTTTAATCATTGTGTTTCTCTCCTCAGGGAACACGCCATGGCATCTGTGGGTTTGTGTGTGGTCAGCACAGTCAAAAGGGCATATCCGCTGGAGGATGCCACACATATAGCATTAAGTAATTTCTGTTTAATTAATTTTATAATACAAGTGTTATACATCACATGTGAGGTCACTCCTTTCTGAAGAAATTCAGAGGGATCTCATCAGAATGTGTTCCCCCCACATTTATGTTTCTAGGGACTGTTCGTAGATTTCTGGAGAACCATGGTGAAAATATTGAGACTGTAGTGTTTGCTGTTTCCGATGTTGAGGAGGTGTGTGGCATTTCATTTTCACTGTTATGCAACAGCCTCCATCCTTGAACTCTCTTGTGTGCTCTTTCATTTTCTTATGAAATTCTCGTTTTGATTTAAAAGCCAAACGTTGTCGTGTTTGTGGGTTAAACTAACTTGTTTGCTGAGTGTGAGCTACAGGATTGTACATTAGGGATTCATGTGTTCCTTGCTAACATTTTTTAAAATTGCATTATTAAAAAAAAAAAAAAAAAGATTTGTATAAATTTTTTTTATCATGTGCCTGAATGTGTATCTATGATTGATTGCCCCTAAATGTGTTTGTAATTCATTGTGTTTTCCAGCCAGTGTACAGGAAGTTAATGCCGTTGTATTACCCATGCTCAAAAAAAGAAGAGAAGATCAGTCTGCCTCTCCTCCCTGCCGACATTGGTAATACTGAGGGGGAGCCCGTGGTCCCGGAGAGACAGATCCGCATTGCCGAAAAGCCAGGAAATCTAGAAGGTGAGCTCAAATAATTGTTCATTGTATCATCTTTTCAGATCTTTAAGGTAGATATGCTATTCAAACAATTTGGGTTGGTAAGATTTTTAAAAATATGTTAATGCTTTGTTTTTTAAAAAACGCATTATTTTTCACATTATTTACCTTTATTCCACACCGCGTTTTCTCAAAATATGCATTTAATATCACCTCATTTTCCAGCGATTCTCAAACGATTCGTTCGAAGCAGTTCAAAGATTCAGTCTCTCTAAACCCCTCCTTTCCGTGAGCCTGCTCTGCTCTGATTGGTCAGATAGCCTAGTCTGTTGTGATTGGTCTACAGCGTACAGCGCGTTTCGGAAATGATACGCCTATTTCAATGGTTCTGTATTTTGAACGCTCTATAGAAAATATAAACATCTATTATTTATCATACTTACAGGTTGTGATTCAGTGGAGCAGCTGGTCCAAATAAACAGGATACTGATCCATCTTTCAACAGCAAGCGTTTTGTAAATCCCGCGTTGAACTCTCCGAGATTAGAGAAGCAGTCGTCAGTAAAATGACGTGTTTGTGGGCGGGGTCAAGTTGTTCGCGGCCGGCCAACGTAGAACATAGGCACATTATGCAAATGTGTTACCCCGTGATGTGTAGCCGTCACGGAAGTGAAATTTCGAATTACTAACGACTCATTTCAGCTGTTCGGAGTCGATTCATTATTTTGGGAGACAATAACTTTATTTATCGTGTACTTTCAGCTTTACAACTTTGCAGATCGTTTACATTCACATACAGCTACATTACACACTGCATGAAAGGCAATATTGGAAATGGCATAATAGGGGCACTTTAAGAAACATTCCTTTTTATATTTATATTTTATATTTGTTGAAAACATTAATATTAACATTAACATTTAATATTTTTGTGGAAGCTGTGATACTTTTTTCAGGATTCTTTGAATGAAAAGTTCAAAAGAACAGCATTTATTTTAAATAGAAATCTTTTTTAACATTATAAATAAAGTCTTTACTGTCACTTTTGATCAATTATATGCATCCTTGCTCAAAAAAGTATTAATCTGTTTCAATAAAAAAAACAAAAATAAACAACAAATCTTACTGACCTCAAACTTTTGAATGGTAGTGTAGATGTTTTAAGTCTACCAAACAAGCAGTAGGAGTAATTGTTTGCCAAAACGTTTGGAGAACATTCATCTGGAGGACGTGTATTTACACTGTGTAATGTAAAAGAGATTTTTTTTAACAGAAGCATTTTCAGTAATGTATTTGATTTACAGAATGAAAAACATAATTGCCTTCCAGAAATGTGATAGAATAATGATTGAGCAGCATGCAGCTGATCGAGAGTCATCTCTTCCTCCCTGGCCTTTCATCTTGATCTGTTGTGGGTGTTTCATGAGTTCAGATTAGCTGACACTACCTCTTTGTCCCACAACAAGTGCTTTGACTACAGCAGAATCTTCTGCATTCAGACAGACCCACACAGCTACAATCAAGTGTGTGTGTGTGTGTGTGTAGGCACCAGTGTCAAAATGAGAATGCCTATATGAGAATGAGTGTATGTTTGGCAAGTTTGCTTGCCATAGCACTCGGAGCACATGTGTATATTTATTTGTTAGTGGGAGATTGAATTTGTATATTTGTTGGCTGCCATTATTTCAAACCCAGATCCTGTGGACTGTGAGCCAGCTGTGTTAAGGTGATCAAGTCTCACTAGAGCTGTTGATCCAACTCAAAAACACCACATAAGCCAGGTCCTGTCTGTCAACTTTCCTGTCTGTCTTTGAATGCTTTAATCCAGGACATGGAACGTCAGCCCAAGGTCTGTTACCAACTGAACTAAAAAATAAACTCTTTCCATGTTAGGTCATTCAATAATCTGCTTTATCAGTCTCACTTCTGGTTGTTTGCTTGAGCCATTGAGAATGACAACAAGCTCTAATCTGAACAAACATGATCACTTAACCAAATTTACTTTGGTGTACAGTATACTAAAGTGGCACAACAGTTTCCAAACTTCCTTGTTAATATGAAGTTAAAGGTGAAGTGTACTTTTTGTGCCACTAGTGTCATCAAAAGGAATTAATGAAAAATTTAATTCAAACTGCCATTGGTCAGCCAGACATTAAGGGCCCTATCATACACCCGGCGCAATGTGACGCCAGGCTCGACGCAGTGTTAATTTTGACAGGCATTTTTGATTTAGTCTTTATCTTGAGACGAAAATGCTTAATAGTCTTAGTCACATTTTAGTAATTTGAGTCTTTCATAGTTTTAGTCGACGAAAAGTCATTGCATTTTTGTCAACTTTTAGTCAAACTGCAGTTACCAACATTTATTTTGGTAGCTATTTTATATGTAGTCTTCAAACAAAAATAGTCATTAATTCTTCTCTCTTTAGACCAAATCAATTAAGCTTATGAGAAATTTGAATCAAGGATTGAATTTGGAAAAACTTGAATAAATTATGACAATTTTCATTTTTGGTTGAACTATCCCTTTAACAGTAGTGAAAAGGGAGCAACTTATCAAAATTATAGTTGTTCTTATATAATATATATAATTTATAATTTTTGAAAAAGCAAAATAAGACAATAAGATAAATACAAAAGAGATACAAATTAAACTCATTTTTCAGATACAGTAAAGTTTACTTAACATTTATTTAACACCTTTTGTTGGTTAACATTAATGACAAGGATAGGTACTTAATTAGGAATGCTGTCCCTTTAAGAAGGAAGGCATGCATGTAATACTGACACACGTTCAGTTTTCACCCACCTGTTTACGTTCACTTAATCCATAACCGACTGTATTTACGTGAGATACTCTACTACACGATAGACATTTGGACTGCTGTGTGTGTATTTAAGCACTGAGAACTGATCGTGCGCTGTATATGAGAACTGAAGAAGTGGCGCGTGCACGAGAGAGCACTTCTATCAGCGCGATTCCGCCTATCTCACCTTAATTCAATAACTTTAAGATAATCTACAACAAATTGTGACTCCCGGTAAAAACGGGACGTCTGGTCACCTTATCCCTACCCCTTCAGGTGCTGAGGCCATTGTTTCAGATCGCTAGTT